CGAGGATAGATGACTTGTTTGACCAGCTTCAGGGAGCATCTTGGTTCTCCAAGATTGATCTACGGTCAGGTTATCACCAGATGCGGGTCAGGGATGAGGATGTGCAGAAGACCGCTTTTAGGACCCGTTATGGTCATTATGAGTTTGTGGTGATGCCGTTCGGGCTCACCAACGCTCCAGCAGCGTTCATGGATCTCATGAATCGCGTATGCAGACCGATGTTGAATCGGTCTGTGATAGTGTTCATTGATGACATATTGGTTTATTCCAAGACTCAGGAGCAGCACGAGGAGCAGCTGAGAGAGGTGCTAGAGACGCTGAGGAGGGAGAGACTTTTCGCGAAGTTCTCCAAGTGCGAGTTCTTGTTGCGCGAGGTGCAGTTCCTTGGACACCTCGTCAACCAGAAGGGTATACTAGTAGATCCGGCCAAGATAGAGGCCGTGATGCAGTGGGAGGTCCCGAGGTCTCCATCTGAGATTCGGAGCTTCATAGGGCTGGCAGGGTACTACAGGAGATTCATCCAGGATTTCTCCAAGATAGCAGTTCCACTCACCCGACTGACCAAGAAGTCGGTGGTGTTTCGTTGGGGGCCTGAGCAGCAGGCAGCATTTGAGACCCTCAGACAGAGATTGTGTGAGGCGCTGATTCTTACCCTGCCAGAGGGAGTAGAGGATTTTGTAGTCTACTGTGACGCTTCGATCACAGGTATGGGAGCGGTTTTGATGCAGCGAGGCCATGTGATAGCTTACGCCTCTAGACAGTTGAAGCCCCACAATGCTAACTATCCGACGCACGATTTAGAGCTGGGGGCAGTGGTGTTCGCCCTTAAGATTTGGAGACATTACCTTTATGGGGTCTGTTGTACAATTTACACGGGTCACAAGAGTTTGAGGTACCTCATGGATCAGTCGAATCTGAACATGAGGCAGCGCCGATGGTTAGACGTGGTAAAGGATTATGATTGTGAGATCCTTTATCATCCGGGCAAGGCCAACGTAGTGGCCGACGCCCTGAGCCGCAAGGCGGTAACAGCCCCGACCAGGGATATATGTCTGAGGATGACAGTGATGATAACTCCTTGTTGGAGCAGATTAGAGAGGCTCAGGTTGAGGGCCTGAGGAGGAGAGGCAGAAGTGCTGAAGAGAGATAGTGGGCCGAGTAGCTTCCTTTTACTATGATAGTCGAGGATTGTTGACCCTTCATGGGAGAGTTTTGGGTACCGTACTGGGGCGGAGTACGGCAGGTGTTGATGGACGAGGCTCACAAGTCTCGGTTTTCCATCCACCCAGGGGCGACGAAGATGTACAGAGATCTTCGACCCGACTATTGGTGGCCCTGCATGAAGCGGGACGTACTTGGTAGGTGGAGAGATGCCTGACCTGCAGGAAGGTCAAGGCGGACCATCAGAGACCCCACGGCAAGATGCAGCCATAGACATTCCCGTGTGGAAATGGGAGGATATCACTATGGATTTCATTCACACTAGCTTCCCAGTGACCGCACGTGGTTGTATTCGATTTGGTCATAGTGGATCGGCTGACCAAGAGCGCGCATTTCTACCGATTCAGGAGAGCATATCGGCCGAGAAGCTAGCCTGATATTTATGTGCGCAGAGGTAGTGGCACGGCATCGGAGTGCCTGTATCAGTAGTATCAG